AATCCTTATTTTTAAAAATTCCACCATTTTTCGATAGTTCCGAGTACTCCTGGACCTGCCAGTATTCGAAAAGTGGTTTTGGGTGCATTTCTGTGCATTTTACGTGTTTAAATCGAGTTCACCGCCCCCAAATTACTCTAGCTCCAACTTTCAGCTCTCTAGCTCACCATCGGTGTTTGCGTACTTTCGAAGCTACAGTAATCCGAAAACCACGAAAATCTTCAAAATCGAGCTAGAGACGTCTAGTTTTTGGTGTCTAGAGTGGATTTTTGCGAGGAATTCGAATTTGATCTTGTTTTGCAGTTTTTTTGATCTAATAAAAATTTTCTAAAAAATCAGAAATTCGAACATTGCATTTTTATATAAATCTACATAATTTGTATGCACATTTTAATGATAAACTTCTCTAATTCTCTCAAATTCCAACACTATTTCTGTCTTACATGTAGACTCAATGGATACTCATCAGCCATCCAAAGTGTCGCCTTGAACCCGTTCGATCTCTTCACGACTTCTCTCAATTTTCCAATATCACATCCCGGCTCAAATTCAAAATTCGCATCCAAATATTGGTCAGCCGTCAGCCCTTCGGCGAACAAATCCCTTCTCGTATTTTCATCGCTCTTATTCGTCGACATCATTTTCTTAAAACTCGCGACTGCTTTCGATTCCGATGCTTCTTCCTGTTTGAAATGAGGATACTGTGTAAATAATAGTATAGAGGGGATGGTACCTGAGCAAGACGCTCTCGAGCTTCCGCGCTCAGATGATCGTAACGCCGTTTTGTGACCAGGTGAACGTTTGAGGCGTTGAGAACCTGGAAATTTGAATTTTTGGGATTTCGAACATTTTTAGGTGTTTCAAACTGCCCAAAAATGCCGAAAAACTAGGTCAAAAATGACTCAAAAATTAATAAATTCCGAAAATTAGCTAAAATCACTTTTTCAGCCGTATACCGCACGGTGTTTCAAACCAACGGGTCAAAAATCGCGCCCCAGATAACTTTTAGGCCAGAAGAAATTTAATAATATAAAAGTTGACGTGGATTTGACCTATATATTTTTAATCAACGCATTGCAACTCGCGATTTTTCGCAACAACGTTT